TCAGATCTGTCTGTGCTCATGTCTTAATTGCTACGTCAGGACTAGATGCCCCCTATTCAAATAGAAGACGGGGTGCGGCCTGGTGTAGCCCCAGTTTATATACAATACAAGGGTGGAGTCTGCACACTTCCTGTTCGAATACAACACAAGGGTGCAGTCTGTGCACTCCCTGTTCAAATACAGCACAGGGGTGCGGTCTGTGCACTTCCTGTTCGAATACAGCACAAGGGTGTAGTCTGTGCACTCCCTGTTCAAATACAGCACGGGGGTGCAGTCTGTGCACTTCCTGTTCGAATACAGCACAGGGGTGCAGTCTGTGCACTCCCTGTTCAAATACAGCATAGGGTTGCACCAAGCATGTGGTAGTAAACCAGAAACCGCAAACCCGAGAAATTCACTGGTACGCTGTAATTTTTCATTATGTCTAAATCGCGGTAAGTTGAAAATCTGAACGGTCAAAGCGAAGCCTATCATGTCCTCATTAACTGTACGAAGTCTGATCTGTAATACGCGGTCACAATTGTGAAATATAACTATGAATTATCCCTTATCTCAAACTTTCATGYGGAAACCAATTATATKTTTTTTACGACTYGGGTCCAAAGGAAATCCTTACCCGTTGCACAGTCTRTTGAATTCGGCTCAGCAAACTACTGAACAAGGTCTGCTGAGTTCATTCAGTTGAGAAGAGTCCAGTTGAATTTGAGCTCTTAAGTTTTGCGGAACATAGTCTATTGGGATTAACTAACATTCTCAGAGGTTGAATAGTGGCAACTACTAGGATTTTGTACCACTCGAGTTCCCTGGGCATGGCTCACAACCCCACATTAGAAACAAATGCTTCCATCTCTATAAACTTTAATGCCAACCTATGATGCTCATGATGGGAGACTGTTTCTTTGAAGCAACATGCTCGGGGTTCGCAAAAATGACTAGGATCGTAATGCTGGACTGGGAAAGGCAGCTTCTGAAGTTTCTGATAAACATACTAGCAGAAATGGAAATTTCCTCGTTACAGAGTGGAACGGTCGTGGAGTTTATACCAAAATCAGCAGCGGGGTCGCCCCCACTACGTCATTTCGCCATGTTAGTTGACTAGCGAAGAACCCCTCTTTTGTCCTACCTTCCTCTCTTCTTACCTTTCCCTCATTCATCAAAAAAATATCGAGAGAGAGAGAGAGAGAGAGTAGGATGATGAGGTTAAAGGAGGTAGGCGGAGCCGTAGCTTGACCGAAGAAGATGACTAAGACAAAGAAGGTGTTATGAGCACACAGATAGATCTAAGAACCAAAACCAGCAATCCTCCGTGAACTTAACTTCCAATATAAGAAGAGGAGGAACCGAAGATCGAAGGCGCGCAAACCTTCTGCTCTCTGACTATGGCCCCAGTGTCGAGCGCATCGGTCTCGTAAGGGGACCCTCCCGATCGCGTCATGTAGGATTTTGCAGGACTTGTCGAGGAGAGCGTTTGCCACTCCGGTCAAGTGCGCCTGTCGCACCTATCGCGAACCTCTACGAGAGGATAGGGTCACATGAGGCACAACTTACTTCCACCCGTGGGAGTTGTTACCATCCCTTGGGTGGGCGTATCCCCGCTGAGCTACCAAACCACATGCGAAGACTTTTCGTATGCAATTGCAAAGGTGACCGAGTCGAGGGCGTTTCTCGTTCATTGTAGCATAGGGGGTACGTGCGGTTAATGCCCAAATCGAACCCGCACGTGAACTGTCGCCCGAGGTGCTGATTTCTCGAATGCGATCCTACGCCGGTCGACGAGGACAACCATTTTAACCACGCTGTTGGGCGCGGCGGTCCCCCTCCCAGACGTAAAGTAGTTTAGTGTCGGACCTCACTGTTACATCACGCAGGAGTTTTAATTTGCTTCAGCAAGATACCACTCCAACCATGCGCGCCAGCTATACCTCGTGCGGCTCTCTGCGACAAGACATAGAACTTGCAAAGTACAACTCACGTCTACCTGAGGGGTTGTTCGACCTTAGGTAGGCGTATCCCTGCTGAGCTACTGACTCACGTGCGAAGGCTTATACTTGCAATCGTAGAGGTGAGTCAACCGAGGGCGTTTGCTCGATCGCCGTAGCATAGACATACATGCGGCTGAACTCCTAACAATGACCCGTATATGTGTTGGGCATCCGGGCGTTGACCTCCCGAACAAACTTATAATTCATGTCGTATTTCTGAACAGTTTCCCTCACTCAAACTTGTCATGTTGTAATTGCTGTAGAATCTCAGTCGCAACCGATTCTCTTGAGATAATTCTTGGTTTACCCGTCTTAGACGTCTAGCCATCGCATTTCTTTCTCAACTCAAATCAACCTAGATCTTTGTATGTCTGGTGATTCATCTTAGCATATAATTCAAAGTATACTTTATATGTTTCAAGGGGTGTGACGAGTAGTAGATCTCACTTTTCACAATTGCGGTGGACCAACCCTAGTTCCCCGTATGACACTTTCCTTCGGTAAAACCAGCCAATACCCCATACTTGCACCAATGCAAGAATCACATCCACATGCACAAATGCAGACACAGAATGCACTATGGGTGTCAACCTTATTCCGTCCATAATTTGTCCTTCACTCCCCAAAACCTTTGACAAACACCATTCCAATCCTCTTACATTTTCGCCCAACCCCTCACTAGAATCAAAGGCCCCTTGATAGTGGCCAAGACCATTGAGGTTTTGATATAGAGGAGGTTCCATTCGTCCCCATTGGTTTTGTCTTTAGACATGGGTATCATGTCATGTGGAGACTAAGCCGGAATTTTTATGGACCTATTATCCAATGATAATAGAATTGCAGTTTTGTACAAATTCTTCCGCAATTCTCTCCAAGAATGATGCAAACCTGTAGGCACAACACAATCCAAAAACAAGCTTAACATCCTCCTTTCCGTACACTGATCTAAAGAATTTTCCCTAGACAATGTGATTTGGAGATTGTAACTACCAATATCTTCCGTCCTGCTCCTGGCCTTAGCTAGTCACAAGGTTGTCGCCTCACGATTTGGGTAGTGAATAATAGTTCAATTTCCCTTTATCTAAACTTCTGGCGTCTGGTGGAGTTTGCCATCCTTGTGATGGAGCCTGTCCATCAACTTTGAGTTGGATGGACAGAGGAGGGATGATGATGTCTATTGTGTACGAGTGGAGTTAGCATCTCGTTCGGCTAATGAGGCTGTTGATGGTCCCACCAGAGCATCCGTCGCTGTGTGTGCGAGAGGTTGAGATGCGCCTGATGCATCTCTTGGAGCCTACCCATGCCGCTGCCCATCTCCTTAACCCCCACCGACGGTCTGTGAGGTACTACAAGTCCCTCCACACGACACCGGAGGACGCTCAGGTTGTATATAAGTGCGATCGATTTCTGCTTACGCGGTCGGGGGGGGATTCGATAGGCAGAGATTACCTCGTCGTCCGCAAGCAAATGCATCGTTTCTATGCACGGAGAGGCCATTGAGGTGATCGTTTGTTGTCTGTTGCCGAGGCCCGAGATTGCAACGGGGACGACGAGACGACGCATTGTGCAGCCTGGTGGTTCGCCCACCGGGGAGCGCACCCAGAGTTGCGTGCCATCGCTATCCGTGTGATGCACATGTGGACGTCCGCCTCTCTTGCGGAGAGGAATTGGGCGGTACATGAGCGCATTCACACGACAAAGCGAAACAAGTTTGACTTTGCCAAGGTGGCACAACTGGTTGAGATTACGACTAATCTCAAACTGGCTTCATGCAGGCAGCATGGTGGCGGGTATGTTATGCCTTGGATCATAGATGGTCACGAGGGCCAGAGACCTCATGGGGCTGCAGGCGAGGACGAGGAGGACAGCGACCCGGAGCCAGAGGCGTAGGGGGCGAGACCGGCTGGGACAGTCGGCGATGCCAAGCTCAAGAGGCAGATTGACGTGTTCGTATGTGACGACACTGCCCCTCCGCGAGAGGTGTCTGTCATTTTTGGGGAGAGGTCAGCCACATTGCTATCTTTCGACCATGTGCCTCCTCTCGCACAGGACGCCGACGTTGAGGGTTTGCAGGCTGGGGAGGACGACTCGACGGACCCGGAGGACCTTGTGCCAGGTGGGGACAGGTCCGAGAAACAGGTGTATTTCACGTATAGCAGAGGATCGGAAGGGCTTGCACCACATACATCAGTCATCACTGACGACGGCTTAGGCCAGACAGAGAGAGTTGGAGACCAGCGGCCCCCTGCGGGTCGCGCGGCTCAGTCATCGAGAAGCAGGGCTACACACCTACCCCCACGCGCGAGGAGGGTTATAGGGGTCGAATCCAGCGGTGAGGACGAGTCCGAGACGGAGGAGCGTTTGAGGGACACAGAGTTTGATTCTAGCCACCACTCGTTCGACCATTCACAACACTTGCGTCGATCGATGAGGTTGGCAGGGTAGGGCGGTGCGGATTCACAGCGCCTAGAGGACATCCTAGTTGGGGAGCGAACGCCAGTCACTCCATCACACGACCGTGATCGCCAGGACACCCACGACACGCCATCTTCGTTGCGGATCAGCGATTTCGACGTCGGTGGCTCCCATGGTGGATCGCCTGTCTTGCGTTATGGATTATCAATTATAAGAGAATAAGGAAAGAGGGGACTAAACGAAGGAAGTCAAGGAGGAAACTAAGGTTGATGGCCGCAAAAGATAGAAAGGATAAGCAACCATTGTCGAAGATTAGAATGCGATAACATCCTTCGCAGGGAAGGAGGTGATGATAGCCCTCCACCTGCGATAGATAATGATCCCTGTCTCGGGGACTGAACCATCACAGCATATGGTCGTATACGGTAGTGCGCCATTGGCGCCAACTGCAAGGAATTTCACGATCGGTCGTGCGTCGTGAGACTTCCTGCCATCCGACAACATGGTCGCGCCACTATGGACGAAAACCTCTCGGACCTCTCTGAGCCCGACCACCACCTTAGCCCTCTGCGAAGGAGCCCCAGGACCATCGATTTCCTTAAAGGAGGGAAATAGCATCCACATGCCTTGAGGCATCTCTTCAAATGTCTTCCTGACCTCCCTCCTAGAGTGTCTCCTGAAACTTGTCGCAAAACTTCCACTGCTTCTCCGCTTTGTAAACCGTGTCAATCCGGTTCTGCCGAACCCTCTTCCCCGCCGCAAGTGGAAAGTCATCCCCATCCATCGCCTTCTTCCCTTTTTCCTTCGGCCCTGCCCCAAGTGACGTCAAGGCGACCTCCTCGCCTTCCGAATCTACACCGCCTGACAAATCACCCACCTCGTGCCCTCGCATCTCGCGCTCCTCCGCCTCGTCCCTGGGTGCAGTGGATGGCGACACTCGTGTTCTGGAATGACCCGCAACTAATCGTGCGTCCTTGATCCCCTTCTCCTCCATGTACGACAGAATGAATGGCACATGCTCAACCATGAAAGTGTAGTTCGTGTCATTCCAGACGTCCACGAGCACGGCCATCTGTGTTGCACGACATTTCTCTCGCTGAACAAAGTGACGCGCGGCCTTCGACACGTTCCCCTGCCAGACATGTTTGCACAAGTTGCATCTCAACTTCTGGTCCCCGTGCATCTTCTCCCATGTCGTGGCCCTCTGCCCCTGCGTCACGTATTTCCACACGCACAAGGCCCTCCTCAACTTTGCCATATCTGCATCTGATACGGGGATGGACGCACCCCTCCCAGATCCGCCCGCCCCCTGACTCATTGTTGTGGACCCTGCACACGATCCGCCCTCCCCCCGATGTCGCCGTCGATGAAGACGCTTGTACAAGAACCGAGCCGCCGCCACTCGACGCAATCCCGCACATAATCCCCGCCTAAGGCGACGACGGTCAAGTCGCCGACCTCAACAGTCATGGCTTCAACCGCAGTGGGCGCGGTTACAACCGCTCAGTTATGACTGCGGCCACACAGAAAGGGCGGGTCTCCTACCACGTGGCTGCCGCTCCGCCGCTGAACGCCGACAAGGGCGCCATTGCATGCCCTCTGGGGCGGCCAACTTTCCGCCGCTTGGTCTATCTCTCTCTCTTTGTCTCTCTCTTCCTCTCTCTCTCTCTCTCTCTCTCTCTCTCTCTCTCTCTCTCTCTCTCTCTCTCTCTCTCTCTCTCTCTCTCTCTCTCTCTCTAAATCTCTCTCTCTCTCTCTCTCTCTCTCTAAGAAGGAGAAAAAAAAAAAAAAAAAGACGAAGAAGAAGAAGAAGGAGAGGAATGAAAACGAACGGAAAAAAAAAATGAACAAAAAAATGACTAAAAAAACCGTCGAAAAAATGAGAAGGAGAAAAAGACGACGACGACGACGACGACGACGAAGAAGAAGAAGAAGAAGAAGAAGAAGAAGAAGAAGAAGAAGAAGAAGAAGAAGAAGAAGGAAGATTACAAAGAAAAAAAAAAAAAGTTCTCAACCTAAAGCGATAAAAAAAAAAAGGGAAGAAGACGTTCAAGAAGAAAGAAGAAGAACAAGAAAGTAGAAGAAAGAGAAAGAAGAAGAAGAAGAAGAAAAACAAGAAGAAGAAAAACTCTCTCTCTCTCTCACACACACACACATACACTTTCTCACTTAACCTCGACCACACGGCATCGAACTGCTATGTGGCCGCGGTAACAACGACCTTCTCTCTTTCTCTCTCTCTCTCTCCCTCTCTCTCTCTCTAACTCTCTCTCCCCCGCCTCCTTTCTCTTTCTCTCAGACTCTCTCTCTCTCTCTCTGTAGAAGAAGAAAAAGAAGAAGAAGAAAAAAAATGAAGACGAATCTGACAAATGAAAAAAAAAAAAAAACGAAGAAAAAAATGACAAAAAAAAAACGTTGAAGCATAAAAAGATGAAGAAGAGAAGAAGAAGAAGAAGAAGAAGAAGGTATATTAGAATAAAAGGGGAAAAAAAATTCTAAACCTGAAATGAGCAAAACAAATAAGGAGAAGAAGTACAAAAACAAAGAAGAAAGTAGAAGAAAGAGAAAAATAAAGAAAAAGAAATATTAATAAGAGAAAAATATGAAGAAGAAAGAAGAAGAAAGATTAAGAAGAGAGAAAGATGAAGAAGAAAGAAGAAGAAGAAGAAGAAGAAGAAGAAGGAGAAGAAGAAGAAGAAGAGGAAGAAGAAGAAGAAGAAGAAGAAGAAGAAAAAACTCTCTCTCTCTCTCTCAATACATTTATCTCTCACTTAGTCGAGACTGCGCGATGTCGATGTGCCACGTGGTCACGGTAACAGCGGCCCTCTCTCTCTCTCTCTCACTCAGTCGAGGCCATGGCGTCGATGTGCCACGTGACCGCGGTAACAGCGACCTTCTCTCCCTCTGTGTGTCTATCTCTCTCTTTCTCTCTTTCTCAAGGAAGAAGAAAAATAAGAAAAAAAAGAAGAATGTTGAAGATGAAAGGAAAAAAAAAAAAGCAAAAACCGATGAAAAAACAAGGAGGAGAAAAAGAGGAAGAAGAAGAAGGAGACGAAGAAGAAGGAAGTAAAACGAGGGAGAAAAACAACTTTAAAC